ATCATGGACAATAATCTCCTCCGAGTTAACCAGGAGGCAGGAGGATCACTTGAGCCCAGGAATTTGAGGTTGCTGTGAGCTAGGCTGACGCCACGGCACTCTAGCCCGGGCAACACAATGAGACTCTGTCTCAAAAAAAAAAAAATCGCATCTTGTATCAGTGACCTTCCCTTTGCCCTGTCTGATCCAGTTCTAGCGGGCCCCCTGCTGTGTGCTGTACTCTCCTGCCCTTTGTCTTTGAGGTGGGTTCAACCAATGGGAAGCCCAGCTGCACTTCAGAAACTGAGATCAGCCTACTTTTTCCATTCTGTGGGGTTACCTCAGGCTGCTCACGTCCTCTGTTGAGGGGACACTGCTCCTCTCAGCGCAGCCTTCTTCACACTGCTCTCTGCTTAGGGGTGCAGGTAGCTGATCCCTCCTCTCCTCCCCGGGGCCTCGCCGTTGCTGGCTAGGTTATTAGGCCTCCCCCATCACTCCCCTACATCCCTCACCCGCACCTTTATAATCAGTCTTCACTAAATCCCTCAATTATCGCAATTTCAGTGCCATCTGTTTCTTGTTGTGAACTGATACACACTTCCTCTGTAGTACTACAAACCACTTCTTTCAAGAAATTATCACTCCTACATCTCCTAAGATGGGATTCTTTCCTCTTCTAATCATAAAAGACCACCTTGTCTAAAAGCGTTAGTCCAACTCGGCATTTTGTTTAGGGGCTCGTCGAATCCCCTCTTTTTGAGTAGAAAGCCTATGAGGACAGGAGGACCAGCTGGTTTATCTTTGTCCCCCACAACACTTAGCGGTATCTTACACAGTACTAGATACTTGATATCTGATTTGCTAAATAAATGAACTTTTAAAAATATCTTTCCCAAGAATCACTTTTGTTAACCTCTACAGAGTCCTTACTCAGTTGAGAAAGGAAGTGGGATATAGCAAAGAATGGAAAAAAGAATGTTTTCTTCCCGTACTCATCACATACTCTATAGAACTGCAGTCCCCCAACCCCCAGGCTGCAGACTGCAGAGCTCCCCACCCCGCTAACCCCTGTCCCCCCATCTGTGGAAAAACTGTGTTCCATGAAACTCAGAAACGGGGCGGGGCGGTTGGAGTGGAGGGGTTGGAGCTGTCTTGTTCAGGAGGTGAGCAGCAGGTGAGCCAGCAAAGCTTCGTCTGTTTTTACAGCCGCTCTCCTCCCCATCACTGGCATCACCGCCTGAGCTCCACCTACCCCCCTCCACCGTGGAAAATTGTCTTCCATGAAACCGGTCCCTGGTGCCAAAACGGCTGGGACCACGGCACAGAAGACCGACAAAACCATGTTGATTTCCACTTAACTCCGTCCTCAATAGCTAATCCTGAGAAACATGAGTTGAAAATGACTTGATTGATTTTCAGATGCTGAAATTCTAGATAACATTCCCAAATATTCTAAATTCTGTACCCACCCCTTTCAACGTTCACCTTCTTAAATAGGACTTTTCCGTTTAACTTCACCTTGCTATGATAAACACTTTATGCCACAATCAATCCAAATATTATAAAATATGTAATATTTGCTCTATTATTTTTTCAGTATTTACCAGTTTATTTTGTCAACTTGTTTGTCTTAGCAGGGAACATGTTTTCTGTTTCTTTTATATGTCACCACACTATGGTAATTTACAAGTGGAAAGTGCTTCATTAATAGACCAACAGAATTCTGAGTTTAGAAAATTCACCATTCCTTTGTTTACTAAAAGATGGTTTCAAAGTGTAGAACTATCTTCTTCATAAGAAGGAATCAAAATCAATATTTATATTAAGATAGTACTTTGGGGGTGAGTTCAAAGGAAAAATTGTTGTTACTGAATTATTACTCAAAACAATGAATAATTATTAACAAAGCCCTTAATTATATTTCTAAAAATGCACAGATTCTAGGAGGAATGTTTGCGTTAACTCACCATCAGTTTTTTTTAGAAAGTACGCATGGCTCTCCTTCTGTTGATGTCTCTCTTGATTTGGCAGAGAGAACAGTAAGGACAGCAAAGTGTTACCATATAGTCATCGCAAATAGATCCCTGTTGGAAAATAAAAAAGAAACAGAAATATAAAATTCACCTATTTGAAATTAAGACTTGTGGATTTTCAAACATCTTGAAGAGAAGCAGAAGGCACTGGTCCTTCAGATTCAGTTTGGGTGGATACATTTAAGAAAATGTTAATTCATTTTTCCATACAACTCTTGTCTCTTTATGACATAAAATGTGTTCCAAGATACTTTATAATTCTGAAAATATAAGAAGATATGCAACCAAATATCAAGTACGAGGGTAGACTAAAGAATTTCAGAGCCGGTGTGTTGTCATGCACCTGTAGTCCCAGCTCCTTGGGAAGCTGAGGCCGGAGGATCACTTGAGCCCAGGAGTTTGCAGCTGCGGTGAGCTAGGACGACACCACTGCTCTCTAGCCAGGGCAATAGCGCGAGGCTTTGTCTCAAAATAAAAATTAAAAAAAAAAAGTTTCAGGAAGTAGAATTTAAATATCTTTTCTTCCACACTTCCTGTCTTAGGAAGCTGCTAAAGGATGTACTTCATCAAAATGAGGGAGTAAACAAAGAAAGAGGAAGACCTGGGATATAACAAACAGGAGTCTAACACAGGAGAGAAGCTAATGGAATCTGCAAGGTCACAGTAAAGGGAGATCCCAGGATGAGAACTAAGCACCAGGAATAAAGGGCCATAGTTCAAAGGGGAATGGGTCAGGGGGAGATGTCATCAAGAAGATGAAAACGGGCCGGGCGC